GAACAGCTTTAATCACAAAAACCTCTTTCCTATAATACATGAAAAATTACTCTTTTGAAGTACAGTAGCTAAAAGATTTACCTGGTTTGATTGTTGGCTTTCCAGAATCCTTTATTTTTTAGTTATTTTGCTTTAAATGGACCAACATTCATTTTTTGTCCGTTCTCAAACATCTATGTCTACACTGAATATCTTATTAAGTCAGTTTATTGTTGAATGAAAATGGGTTTGAGCGTACTCCTCTGTACGCTTCTCAATTTTCCTTTGTATTACTGAGCTTTTTAGCCCATAGCACAAGTGTTATGAGCACTACCGGGAGGCCTGAACTCAAAGTTTGATGGCTGTATTGACAATAACCAAAGGAGAGGGGACTTTTGCAGTTGTGGGCTGGATGTTAGGGAACCAGACTTGTGACCGGAAGGTCGCCTGTTCGATCCTCTCAGCTGACAGTACTGACTGAAGTGCCCTTGAGCAAGGCACCTAACCCCCAACTGCTCCCCTGGCGCTGTGGATAGGGCTGCCCACTGCTCCAAGCAAGTGTGCTCACTGCCCCCAAGTGTGTGTGTGTTCACTAGTGTGTATGTAGTGTTTCACTGCACGGATGGGTTAAATGTGGAGGTCTAATTCCGATGTGTTCAGACACAGTTGGCTAAAAAGGTTCATTCATCAAATGGTCAGTTACATCAAAGTGAACCGTATTGAGTATTGTAAACCATATTGAGACAGAAACTTGCTATTTAGATTTATATAGGCTGTTTTGAATTGTCTCTCAAAACAATATGAAATACCCAGCAAATGAGATATATTGAAGTTTTCTGTCATGGATCACTAACTTTAATAGTAAAAATTAGTATTGCGTCACATCATTACCAAAACAAGAGATGGCATAATATCACTTTTTTATTTCCAATATCTTTACCTAAGAAAAAATACTAATCTGACACTCTATCTATCTATGTATCTATGTATCTATGTATCTATGTATCTATCTATCTATCTATCTATCTAGATATCCAGGCCAACATTTTCTGGTGATATTGGTCCAATACAATTACCGGGTATACATGATATACCCTCCAGCACTACCTAATTGTAGTATATTGATATCACTGCGTCAGCCTTCATGCTGGAACTACTGGGCTCCTTTAAGTCCAGAAGAACAGCTGTTGACCTGAATTATGAGTACATTTTAAAAGACAAATTGGTTCATTTTGAAGAACAAAGGTTGGTGCTATATTCAATAAGACTGCATATACAAGGTTAGTTGGAAGCTGACATCAAAACATCCACATTTCGCTTCAATAATTACTTCTTTGTCAGATGAAGGTTGTCATTTCACACAAATAAAAAGTAGACAGTGAGATAAAAGACTTCTGCTAATTTTCAGTTCTACTTTTAGGCAAACTCTCTAAAATCTCCTTTGAAACAAAGACACATCCAGGTGGACACAGAGGGCAGGACAGGACGCGACGTATACGTTTACAGAAGTATCAAGAACGGCTTCAAAGAGTGATTAATATAATCACTGACTCACAAGCTCGGAATAAAGCCATATGGAGATCTTTCTGCTTTTGCCTGCAAGCTGATGGTTCAGTACAAACATCAACATCACCCACTCACCAATTAGCCTCTACTGGCGTCGACTCTGGGATGAAATCAAAGTTGTGGCATGGAGTGCTGCAGCTAGCTTTGAACAACAGAATGTAAACAGCAGCACGGGGACGCGAGCTTCCTTCGTGAAATAAAGGTGACGTTTTATTTATTTCTTTTCTTCCATTGAGACGTCGAAACACGAGTCTGCGGTTTGTGGATTTTATCCTCTTCTGTCAACATGTTCTCAAAAGGAACGCACACCTGGGACTTGTGAGCGGCGCTCGGTGGTTCAGTGGCTTGTCACTGCACAGGCTTTTCAGTGCGTCCTGATCAAGAGACGACTGTTGGAACAAGCAGCAGGCTACAAATGTTCGAGCCTTGAAAACTGTGAACTAATTATTTATATTAAGCCTCTGAAGCAATTGCCCGTGATTAAATCCGGTCCTAAAGTGTAGGATGATGGCAACAGAATGCTTCAGGGTTAGAGTCAAACCGTTCTCTAGTTTACAGTTCACTGCGAAGGAAAAAACACTTAAGCTGAAACCAAGAAAGTTAAAGCTTCCAAAGCTTTTTCAACGCCAAAATCTACTCCACATGCTTCCTTAGCCAAACTGCCTTTGCTCCTCCAACATTAAAAGACTAAGAGACCTTGGTTTGAGTGCTCTGTGTTCAGCTGCCATGTTCATGGCAAAGATTTCTATTTAAATGATTTGAAATTATCAAGCAGGCTGGCTGGCTTTACCGGCTATTCCGGTGTGGCCTAATTAGGTGAAAAATACTCCAATACATTGCCCAAAAATACTCTCCGAAATAACTCCACACCACTCTCTGAACACTAAACCCATCAAACTTTGATGCTGGAGCACATTAGGAAATATCAGCTGTGGGTTTTTGGCTGTTTCACATGCAGCCTTTGCAAGAAGAGAAGATGGCCACAGCTCAGTGACATCAGCCCTGGCACCACCCGCCTGTCCAGTACACACAATCAGTGGGAAAAACACTCCAGTGGGCCGAGCCAAGCTGTGAGAAAACCAAAACTCACACACAGCATGTGTCTATGTGTGCATGCACGTGTGTGAATTTGAAAATAAGCCTTATCAACATTGTCGATCGCCTGCATCGGCCGATAACCCGGCTGTCAGCATGGACACAGGGGCAGATTAGACACAGCGGAATGGTGCCGGGCGTGTGTTGACCCGATTAAGGGCAGGATCTGAATATTTGATTTAAATATCTGATTCTCGTTAGGAAACATCAGTCGACATGGCCCAAAGTCTCTGTGGTGTTCTTTTCACATGTCAGACTTGGCCGCCACTGCTAGCCCCCCTACTGCTTAAGGCCCAAATGCCTCAGGCTGAGCACAACGTTATCCATATTAGAGGTCTGAACGGGCAGGAAATTGAAGCCTGAACTCAACCCACGACCCTGAAGCCCAACCCGATAAGGCCCGAATGATACTACTAAATTTTAGACCCTGACCTGAACCCACCCAGACACGCGGAACTGAATCACCAGCTTCTTTTTTTTCCAAATGTTCTGTTCCACCTTAAATGGAACAGCCAGTACATTCTGGTGGTGCCATTTAAGGTGGAACACACCATTCAAACATTATGCTTTGAGGTACTAACAGAGATGGATTATCACAGACACGGTTTTACAGTGCTTTGCTTTGTTGCTATGAGCTTAAGTTGCTGGAAACTGGTATTTTACTGCCATACATTTATTGTAAGTAAATTTTATGGAATTGCTAATTATTCCTGGCATAAAACAGCACCAACCCCCTTATACTTTTTTTAAAATCCCTCTACTGGCTACTACAGCCACTTGCAGGAGTACTAGCAAGCAAGCTGGAAATCCCAACACATCGTTTACGGAGTGATCATGAATTATTACTACTTAACTTCATAGCTTACTTCTTAACTTCAGAACTATTCTGAATACACAAATGCAACTGTAAACTAAAGACACACGTGCTTGCAAGAGATGCAAAATTGACAAATCCGCTACACAAATCACTGATTAGAAAACAAACTAGCCTGAAACCTGATATTTTATATGGCCCTGTTGAGTAGCAGACCCAACATATGACATAAAAAAGACAAAATCTGCATTCACATGTTATTAGTATTGGCTCAAATAATCAGAAACCCTTCTTCTCTCTGTGCTCACATATGCAAAAAAGAAATCAAACTGTGGCAGTAAGAGCAGATCCAGAAAGTGCAGCCAGGCCCGAATCACTCAAACCAGGGGGGGTTATGTCTAAAAAATACATCAAAACGCTCAATCTCTGATTAACACTTTACAAACATGGCGTGTTTTTTTGTTCCAAGCACTTTTAAGTTTCTGTTTGCCTTTGTTATTAGAGAGAGTGATTTATAAGCCCCCAAAAAAGTTTGCATCAAGCTGTGAATAAAACTGTTCATGATATAAAGACAGAAGGGCACCTAAACAAACAGCTTCAGTTGCCCTGCCACACCAAAGCTTAGAAAGCTCTCCAAAGAAATGCAGTACAAAGGACTGGGCGATAAATCGTATCACAGTTAGGGATGCACAATGATAATAGAATCTTACCTGAATTGGCAGACAATTAATCTAAAAAAATGATCTAAAAAGGTTTAGATTTGACAGATATTTCAAAACAACATTTGTTGATTTTATTGTACTCTGGAAGAGCAGAACATTTTGGTGAAGCTAGGCTATGGTGTTAAGATCTGTGATTTATTCATCTTACTATATTTGTAGCCCCACAGAAATAATTGTTATAATCCTCTGTAATTCCAATCCAGGTGGTCCCAATTTCTACACTTTATAAAAGTTTATGGCAGATATGTACATGGAAAATATATTAAGATATAAGATATTGGCATCAGCCTACACTTCCCATATCAATGCATCCCTGATGACTATATTTTTCCATTTGGATCGAAGTCAACAATTATCAGTAATTATTACATGTATATTATATGCAGCCATACACTTCATCCAAAATCTGCTAATAACGCTACTCTGTATTATTTAAGAAAACTGAACCAGTTCCACACTATAGAGCTGTGTGACCTTTTCTGCTCTTGTTCTGAGATATTTTCTTCAAATTCACAGCCATCTGAATAGCAAGCTAGCTAACTCTCCTAAGTGTGAGATGACTCATCACCACTTAGAGTACCAAAGTAGAAACTGTTCAAAACCCAGTCCTTTGGTGCTAATACTTGACTGAGAGGAAAAAGCATAATCAGCCTTTGCAGCTAATACCAGACAGAGAAACAGACCCATACGGAACAGAAGCAAAACCATTTTATTGCCAATAAATAATGATAATTATCAGAACTGTTGTATTGCCCAGGCCTTGTAGTAGCCACTATAAACTAGATTTGAGTCCCAGCAGATTGAATTAGAAGAACTTGGCCTACCTTGCCGCACATCCCGGGGTGCTATGGCGATGGCATTCTTGGAATGCAGCTGGGTGACGCAGCAGTCGTCTGGCGGGGGCAGCAGCACACTGGAACTGGGATCCAAAGAGCGGTTGTGGGGAGTGGCGGGCAGCAGTGGGACCGGTGGGCCAGCATTGGGACACACGCAGCCCGTCTGGGTGATGCTACAGCCCACGCTGTCCTGGCCCGAGCCCCAGCCGGAGCGCAGGCACTCCTCAAACCAGCGACACAGCACTCCACAGGTGAATTGGCTGGAGTTCTCATTGTTGATCAGCAACACTTCCACTAGCCTAAAGTCCAGAGTCTCGGTGGACAGAGGCACCTTCGCTTCTGCTGACCTCTCGTCACCTTCTTCGGATTCTCGGCCCGGGTGAGCACTGAGGCACAGTTGCACAAAGTTCTTGTCGAACTGCAGGAAGGTGTGAGGACCAGGGACGAGGCACAGCTCCACAGCCTCCGGGTCAAGTGGCTGCTGAGGTGGGCCACACGTTTGGTTGGGCAGGTAGTGGTCCAGAGGCAGGACAAGCGGAGAGAAGGCCAGACACACCCCGGCGTGGCGATTAAAGCGGAAGTAGAGGGAGTACTTGGTGGGGTCGGGGTTCTCCACCGTCCAGGAGCAGCCGGAGGCCAGGGCCAGGGGGCTGGGGAAGAGGTCCCTGAGCGAGAAGGAGCCGTACAGGACCCCCGCCACCAGAGAGGAGCAGGGGGCGCCCTGGCCCAGCGGCTCCGCAGCCCAGGCCAGTGCGAGAAGGGACGACAGCACAGACAGGCAGAGCTGACCAGCAGTGTTCATCCTATGTCATTTGTCCTACAGGAAGACAAGAAGAACAGAGGGAGAACCTGTTATATACATGAAAGAACTCTTCACAAAATGGTTCTATACAGAGCTAAAAAGGGTTCCACTGTTGCTGGAATTCATAGAACCTTCTTTGGTACAATATAGAACCGTTTTGCAAGAGGTGTAGAAATAATATTCAAAGAGTGCAATGAGAAAATATTGTATACTATCATGAGTACAAAACCAAAACAGGAGATTTCACACTGATTCGCTGCATGCAGTTTACTACAGAAGATGATATCTTGGCAAGTGAAAATATGGTGAATCATTATGTCTAATATTTCTCATTATGAGGATGTTGTAAAACAATATAAGATTTATTTCTAGATATCTTTAGTTGCTTTAAGTAATGTAAAATAAAGAAATTGTTTTATTCTGTATTTATCTAAGACTACACACTATTCATTTGAAAACCAAGTTAAGTAAACTGATACTAAAAGGAGTTCAGATATCCACATATTCCATCCCTAATCCCACACCAACTTTTATCTGAAGGATCAAGGATGAAGTGACCACGTTAGAAGCATCCCCCAAATGAAAAACCACCACCAGCGGCTATCACATGGATATCTAGATGCTGATAACAGCTGTCATATGTCATGTTATTCAATCATGTTCATGAGTGATAACTGAATCATGAATGTCCATTCATCTTTGTCTCGAGGGATAGTTAACCTTGTCCGTTTGTGATGGGCACAGAGCACACTTTTAAAAATAAAAAAGCTTTTATAATGGTTCTTGGCTTGGATGTATGGTTCTGGGTGGAAAACATTAATTGGTATGGAAACCTGACGTTATTTGGAGATTCTTTAAACTTTAACATACAGATGGGCCGATATAGGAATTATGAGCCAATTTTGATGACCCAATATTTTTCATGTGCATATCTGCCAGTGCCTTAACTGACACAAAAACATCTATTAAATGTAGAAATCAGGATTGCATCTACTTGGATTAGCATTACAGAGAAATACAATTTTTGTATACAGTTGCAAATTCATTTAAAATGAATAACATGCAGATATTTGAGTGCAGCAGCCCAGCGTCACCTAAACATGCTGCTCTTCCAAGGTATAATGAATACATATCATTAAATAACGGATTGACATATCAGTCAAATTTCACCTCTTAATCTCCAGGGTATATTTTGGTTTTTCCATCTGAATTTACATGACCAAATAGTAAGGCAAATTATTCAGTTACTGCATCAAATAAATGAAAATTCTGATTTATTTATTTTATTTAAAAGTCCCCCCTCAAACTAACAGTAAATGTGTTTTATGATCATACACATATTGCTATATGCTTACAATTTACTGCTGAAAGCCAAAAATCTTAGACGCTCTTTGTATTATTTTATATATTATTATTTTTGTATATATATATATATATATATATATATATATATATATATATTATATATATTTTATATATTATATATTATATATTATTCAGAGTTCAGCTTCTTCTATTATGAGGGTTTTAAATTGCATTACCCATCTATTTGACTGGAAAGAAGACAGTTACAGCTCTCATATGACACCCACTTTTTGAATGTAGCGTATGAAATATGAAAGTTATGCAGAATATGACGAAGTGCGCTTTGGAACCACTGGTGGTCTCAAGGAGTTGAAAAGGTTAAACAGCTGTCCGATGTTGATGATGCTGATACCAATGTAATTTTGGATATCACTGTGCATCTCTACTTTAAATGTTTTCTTCTTTTTTTTTAATTATCCAGTCAAAGGGTCTTCAAGAAGTGAAAAGCACTTATTCGAAGGCAGTGGTCACCAACCCTCCTCCTGGAGATCTACCTTCTTGCAGGTTTCACCTTCAATCAAAACACACTTCATTCAGCTAATCAACTTCTGACAGAAAATAATGAGTTGGTTCAAGTGGGATCGATTAATGATGGAGCTAAAGTCCATAGGAAGGTAGCTCTCCAGGGGAAGAGTTAGTGACCACTGTTCTAAAGCATAGCTCCAAAGAACCCTTTTGCAACCTGTATTTTTAAATAGCGTAGGAAGAGAATTTTACAAAATGAGAACTCAGAGACCACCTTTTGGCTTACAAGCGTAACAAACATGACGGATTAAGCGTTTTTTCCTGAACTAATATTGACGCTGGTGGCGTTGCCATGGCTTAATGCAATATGGCTCATTTTTATGAAGGGAAAAGAAGACACAAAGTCTCTGAGGCAGAAAACTAAAACAGGATGGAAAGTTTGGAAACTTTGTTGCTTGAGTATCTGATTCATTAAGAGATTTACATTGCTAATCCTCCTTAATCTGTCCTGTGGAGAGACAGGGGGAAGCGCTTTGTTTAATATTAATTTCATGAGTAAACAGCCTCATGGCCAGACGGAGGGGGTTGCAAAAGCAGGGATGAGAGAAAATGCTGGAGAAGAGCAAGGATAAGCAGAGGAAGATGGAGAGGAAGAGCGTGTAGGAGGGAGATGTGTGTCACAAATCCGGCCACTTTAGCGCTTTGACAGTGTTAATGAAGCAGAGAGTTTTTCTGTAAATCAGCCTCCTCCCTCCCTCTCTCTCTCTCTCTCTCCGTTCCCGACTGCCAGACGGCTTCCCCCCTCTATTCATTTTCCCCCAGCTGCATGCCCGGTCCTAATTCAGCTCCTACGCCTCTGCTTTCACTCTTCATTCAGCCCTGACGCACACTCGCGCCAGCCTCTCTCCCTTAATTACATATGGCCACTAAGCTGCATTAGCAGGCCCCGAGCCACTGTGTCAGCTCCAGCGCCACATCCTTCCATTTCTCTCCATCTCTCTGTCACTTGGTGCCATTTTTCACCCTCCCTAGCTTTCCATATGTCCCTCCCTGGATCGATAGATGGATGTGCGTGACTTTGATTTTTTTTTTTTCCTCTTCTCTCCCCCACTCTCCTCTGGCTTGTTTGTCATTCTGCCTCACCCTCCCTCTCTTTTTCTCCCTCTCAATCACTCTCATGCTGTGACTGCCGCCGCCGTCTCCTCCCTTCTTCGCTCTCTCCATTTCCTGCTCTCTCTCTCTCTTTCTCTCTCTCTCTCTCTCTCTCTCTCTCTCTCTCTCTCTATTCTGAACATTCTTTCTGCAGCCTGGCGAATCAGCCCTGTAGCTGTGGATCTTTATGTGTGAAGGTCGAAGACCTATGCGCTTTGGCAGCTGCCATGCACATGCATGAGTGCGCACACATGCGCATGCTCTCGTTCAAGGCTTGCTAGATCTAAGCAAACAGGGAAAGCGTGCACTAACCCCATTTCAGTTTCATTTCAGTTTGCTACCGGCACACACACAAATACATGTTTCAGATGTTTAAAAAAATAATAAAAAGCTTTTAACACTGGCTGAACGGAAGCTCGAGGCATATTTCCCAAGAATTAACATTTGAATGAGTCATCATCAAAAGCAAAAAGAGAGAAAAAACACAAAAGAAACATGTACTGTATTACGATGAGCTGATTATATATAAAGATGCACAGATCCAACTTTTTCTCCCCTGATACTAATTCCAATAGATGTTGGCCAAGCCAATATTTTTTTCTTCTTCAGTTTAAAATCTGTCTAATAAAGGATGTGTGGGAGTACTGGAGTACTTGATTAACCCTTTGTGGTACCAGTGTTTGAATACTGAAATCACTATTCATTCTCAAAAATATGCAGGCTAACAGTTCAATGAAATGTGATGGTTTTGGCCATATTTGTAAGTATATTAGGTTATATCTAAACTCTGAACACAAGCGCTTTAACCAAAGTCCTTATAGGAAAGTCTGTCCACTCAGCGGCCATCTTGGCAGCGCCTCTGGGCAGTTATTTCTGCTCATACAACACCATTTCTTTGAAAGAGGAGAGCCCTATAAATTCTAACCTGTTTTAAGAACATATTTGAAATCGCCGGTGAAACTGGACAAAAATCCCAAAAATAGTTTGTAGTGTTTGGCTCAAATAACACACAAAACACAAGACCGCCGGCTTTTTATTGAAGGCTGGGTGTTAGCCAGGTCCAGAAACAGTGAAAATGTATTTCTCTGTCATATAACATGCTGGAACACTGTCCAATGAGGAGAGAATACCTCGTGTAGAAGGCAAGTCCTCATCAGCATCCAGTGTGACACCTGTTAGCTCTGTTAGCTCATTAGCTTATCTGAAGAGGCAGCCTCCATTTCTCATCCAACACAAAAACCTACCAATATTCCCTTGGCTATTTTTGAATAATAACACATATTGCTCTGTGTGCTGCTATATTTTTGTGCAAAACCAGTGCTGTCTACCTTAAAAGGTATGCCTACAACCCTACATTATCTTTACAAAAATCTGTTTTTTACTCTTCTTTTCCCTTCATGGAACCAGATATCCATTCATGAACCATCCATGAACAAGTTGAATCTCAAAATTAGGAGAATTTACATCCCTATCTCATATAAAATGCTGTTACAACTGAGGAGTTCATTCCAAAACATGACATATCTCATATAAAATGCTGTTACAACTGAGGAGTTCATTCCAAAACATGACATATCTATTTTAAGAAACTTTGCTAATTTAGGATTATTAAAAGGAGACAAGTCACATTCAGCCATATTCTAACTTATTTTAGGGCTACAAAGTCCACCTGATCACTGCGAACATCTTAATTATCACTTTGTCCGACAGATATAGTTTATTAGTTTCAGTAAATAGACAAAAATGATAAAGTGTGAAAGTTATTTGCTGATGAAGCTGGTGAATCACTACAAAACCAGAAAAGCTCTTCTGCACTTTATTCTGACAAGCCATGCTATGCTTTATTAGAATAAGCTTGTATTTTGATGTGTTGCAGTGCTTTGTGGAGAAACACGTTGTGTTTCATGTTTACAAAGAAACACTCATTTTATCTCCTCAAACAAGTCTGTATGGAATGTGACAATTCATAATTATTATCTGACTGTAGAAGATTCAGTCCCACACTGCAAAAAAATTGTATCTTGTCAGGTGAA